GCCCCCTTCTCTCCCGCCCGATCGACCCAAGAACTGCCGATTTCGCCGGTTCTTGGCTCGATCTCTCCTCGTTGGCTCGTGGGGATCACCTCCTGTTTGGCCATAAAGATTCCAGATCCCCACCTGTTTCCTGGTTCGATCTCTCAGACCGATTCGATTTTACCACGCACAAGGAAGCATTCCTTTCATATCTGGGCCCGAGCGATTGGATCATCCCATGCTCCACTGCGACGCGGATATCGTGAATAACAACAGTATTTCCCATCCAGATTCCATCGGATTCTATCATAATTGGTGAAAAGTGTGACGTTAAGACATAATTTTGCTCGGAAATTCTTCGACATGGGGAGGGTGAAGCTCAAGATAAAGAAGCTGGAGAACACCAGCGGGCGGCAGGTGACATATTCTAAGCGGCGGTCAGGGATTCTCAAGAAGGCCAAAGAGTTGTCCATTCTATGTGATATCGATCTCATTCTTCTCATGTTTTCTCCTAGTGGAAGGCCTACCATATGCGTCGGCGACAAAAGGTAATGGTTTTGCTTCGTCTGATTTAATTAATTCAGATTTAGGTCAACAAGCCCATAATATGACTACTGAGATGGACATTTAATTTTATTTCAAAAAATACGCTTAGCTTTTTTATGAAATTATTGCAATTTTGCCATTGAATTAATCGATTTCTTAACTGATTAGTTAATTGAAAAAGGAAATCGATTTTTCAATGCATTTCATCAATTCTAAAATTTACCCATATTAGTCCTATATTCCGACTGAAGCACCATTTAATTTACAGTTTGTCATTGTGTTTCTTTCATTTTTGCAATAGTAGTTCTATGCTTTTTCTTTTGGGTGAAATTGTAGAATTACAAAACAATGCTTTAGCCATATATCTATCTTGTTCTCAGATATGGGGTGCTAATTATATTTAGCACGGAGAGTTAAATCAGAATTGCATGTTTACCTGATATACTATTTAATTTGCAGCCCCATAGACGAAGTCATTGCAAAGTATGCACAACAAACTCCTCAGGAAAGGGCTAAAAGGTATTTGAGTTAAATACATTTTCTGTTTATCTGCTGAACCAATTATATTAACATATCAACTGAAATTCATTCTTTCTGTTTAACAGGAAGCTGGAGAGCTTAGAAGTATGTTATGCCAACAGATAGAGTTATTTATCAAGGCATTTTTCTTTAGCAGATTAAGTTTGAGAATGAGCTGACTAATTAGCTTTTGTTCCCAAAAGGCACTAAAGAAGACATTCAAGAAGCTAGACCATGATGTCAACATTCAGGACTTCTTAGGCTCCGGGTAATTTTACTAGTATTTATTTTGGATATCAAGGGAGCAGCATGATTGCAGAAATGTGTAATTCCAACGAAATTTCTCACTATGTAGTTCTTTTCAATCTATTGCAGGGGTCAGACGGTCGAGGTACATCTTCAACATATATCACAGCTAGGGCGATGAGCACTTCATGGAATTTCTTCTTTCTGGTTTTCGGTATCTAATGCTCATTGGCTCAATTGTTTCACAGGAATTATCTAGTCATCTTGGCGCATTGCAATGTCAAATGGCAGATGTTCAAAAGCGTCTCAGGTAGTTAATTAGCACCAATTCACTTAAGCAGCTCCACAAATTTGCTGCTTTATTGATTGATTCAATGTAATAAGTAGAGACATATACGCTCTTTACCTAAAAAAAGAGGCATATCTGTTGAAATCTTTCCATTCAGTGCCGTCTAAAGTAATGTTTTCATGGCACGTGATCTTCACTTCATAAGGGGCCTTTGAAAAAAAATGCATTTATGGTAGAGTTAATTGTAGCTCTTCACACAAACTTGAAGGGAAACCATGAAAATTGAGGAGCATAACAGGTTGGCATATTTTTTTTTCTTCAGTTATTGGAGCGATCCGGAGAAGGTTGAGAATATAGACCATATAAGAGCAATGGAGCAATCTCTCAAAGAATCTCTTAATCGCATCGGCATTCATAAGGTAGAGATACCCCTAAACCTTCTTATTAACTCCAGCCGATCTGAATGCGTGCTGCACACTGTGTTCAGCATAACCGACTAGCTGTTCAATATCCGAAGTATAAGTTCTGTTAAATTTTGTATTGTCACTCAGAATTCGATCTCATGTTATACCCTGTTGGATATGCATAGGAGAACTTTGCAAAGCAGCATCTGATGGGCCTACAGTGCCCTGCTGCTCAGGTAACAGTTTTCAGCTTCACAAGTTCAGAACTTTTGGTTTCAGGTTCAGATATCTGATCGGGATGTTGGCCCTTGCTATTTAATTTCAGTTCCAGAACGAGATGCAGCTACCTCTGGGGTTAACCGGTGATCCGAACCCTTCGTCGTGGTTCCACAACGGGGGCAGCAGCGATGGACAGCCGCCCATGATGTTACCTGAAGACCCCAGCTTGCTCCAGCAGAGGTGAGTATCCGAACTGAGCTCAGGGGTGGTTGGTCAGGAATTTTGTTACGTAGCAGTTATGTGAAGAAGAAACATAATCGTCCACGACTTACGCACTCCACCACGCAGGGACATCGGGTGCTCGACGAGCACGTCACTGCAGAGCTACCCGGGCTACTTCAGCATGAGCAAGCAGTCGACGGACACCGCCGCGGGCGAGCAGCAGCACCAGCAGGCGGCGGCGGTACGTCAGCACCAGCACCAGCACCAGCAGCCGGAGTTCAGCCAGGGCGACTGCCTGACGTCACTGCATCTCGGCGCGCAGTTCCCGTACCAGTCCGCCTTCGACCACGCCAGCCTCCTCAACGACAGGCTCTTCAGGCCGGACATGGAGCTGCACGTCGACAACGCGGCGGCCTCAGCCATGGACTTCGTCGGCGGCCACTACGAAATGCCGAGGCCTGGCGACGAGGCCAGCTTCCAGAACTGGGCATCGGCGGCATGCGGCGCCACCATGTACGATCACCAGCAGCAGCCGCCATCTGCCCAAGTGAGTAATATGCTCATGGATAGCAAAAATCTTGATTATTTTGTCCATTAAGTATCTTGATGATCTCAGAAAATATTCCATGAATAAATGACGAACGAGCATTTCTTCCAAATATCTGCGAAACGATTGTTTTTCCTTTCTGAGAAAAATATTTTCTTCAGCTTTTGATCTGGTCTTCTTTTCAGCTTATTGTTCAGAACATTACTGAATCCCTGACCGTCAGCTCCCTGCAGCAGCAACTCTGACAGCAGCTTCGTTCGACCACGCCACTGTCCTACATCAGCAGCTCATGATTTGATGATTCTTTAGCCGACGAACCGAAGCCTAAAGGCCTTACCATCGCTGCTAAAAAGAATCCTTCTCAGTCAGTTTGTTATTCCATAGGAATGAAACAAGGTGTATAGGGGAAAATTGAATTTGTCAGTGTAAAGCATATACTGACCATAGCCGATTCAACTTGTAAAATAGCAGTTTTGCCATGAAAAAGGTTGGGCAGCTTACATCCTCCAAGCACGAGCAATATTGTATTACCTCCGTCCAGTTCTCAAAATGTTGACGTCCTGACCATTGACAGGGTCTCCAAAACCCAGCATTTGTTTGTACTACAATATACTACATGCATAATTCTAAAGCAATATATGTTCCAAAATACATGACTTTCTGTAAAGCATGTAGTTAAACTTCTCTACCTTCGAATTATTTTTTGGCGCACGCTAGGCCCCGGTCAACCGGCTAAAATTTCGGCCGGTCGTCTGCCAGATGTGCATAACGGTCATGCGGGTCATGTGATTCCTGGGTGTTGTCCTCGTCTCGAACTACTCCGCGGTAAAAAGGGGAGGACCCCCCCCCCCCCACCCCACCCCCAACCTCGTCGAACTGCCGCATGGGCT